ATTATTATTATTATTATTATTATTATTATTATTATTATTATTATTATTATTATTATTATTATTATTATTATATTAATCCAGCCGAACTTTTGTAGATTTCCAGATAAACATACGATCGGCATATTTGTTACTTCGCTTTCGGGTGGGTATGTAGAAAGAGCCCAACTTTGGGCGGAAGGTTCCAATATCCCCATCCTTTTGACTTCCATTTGGAATTTGGAGCAAGTTCTTTTAAACCTCCCTTGGAATCCGTACGCCATTAATGAGGAATCCCTTCAGAAAATGATGGAAGAATCATTGAAATTGGCTTATCGTCAAGAAGATCGTACAAAGAGTATTAAACAAAAAGTAACACAAACACATCAAGATATGATGGAATTATCTCTCTGGATACTCTGGATTTTTTGGATTTCAGTGGTGATCATTATTCTTGTGTGTTTTATTCTAGGTTGGCTTGGATGTATCTGGATATCATACTTTAATTGTAAGTATATAACTCAAAAAAATTGAGCTCTAGTTTGTATATGAACTAATATAAATTTTCTTTATTGCTATTATTATAAAAATATCTAATTAGGTACATGTACATTTAATGACAATTAAATAAATAGAATAAATACAAATCTCTTATTTTTACGTATTATTCTTCGCAATATTATCAGATTTTAATGTTTCTGTATTTTATAATTTTTTATTTGCAAACTTTTTGCGTGCAAACTAATAGTCAATATTTCATCTTGATTATAATCTCATTATAGTGAAGCTTTCAAAAAGTCTGGTCAAGAGAGTATATCATAGGCTTTTATATTACTTTAGATTTCCTGTTATTCCAGAACAAATTTCTGAAAAGTGTGATTGAATTGAGAATTATTTATACTATATATTAGAGATATATGAAAAAGAATTAAATAGAAAGCATAAAAAACAAATCCAAATTATAAAATCACTTAAAAATTTATTATTTATATATAATATAGAAATGGCTAATCAAGAATTCTAAATTCAAGATATTGTTCTGATTTATATATATAATCAGGTTAGAGATGATATTACAATTAGTTGTAACTTGATCACAATTTTCTAATTGACTATCATAATTGATCATAATTAAATTATAATTCTCTGATTAGTTATCATAAGTCATAATTAATTAAGATATCATCTTTAGATCAGATATACACTTAGTAAAAAAAAGTCACCAAACATTTTATATATTTGAATACTACTCAGAATAATATATAATAAAATTATTATGAATTTTTACCATAAATAATTTAGCATTCACAAATAATTTTACAGTATTATAATCATAAATATTAATGTAAACAAAGTCTATTAATAACAAAGTTTTCTTCAATCTTTCTTATTTATTATGTAAAAATTGCATAAAAATAAGTAACTAGCTTTTAGTTAAAAATAGAAGAGAACTTACTAAATGTGAATATACAAAAATTATTATACTTTCAGAAGATAGATAATCAATATGTAAAATATCAAAAAAACTTAGTTATTCTAAATCTACTATTCAAGATATAATTTTCTATTACAAGACTAAAGGAGATACCTATAATGTATCATGATGTGATTATCCTTACTTGCTTGATGAAAATGCAAAAAATTATTTAAAGAAATAGTAGAAAGCAAATTACAAATAATTGTTAATGAAATTTAAAAAGACTTTGCTAAATCAAATCTTTAGATATTAACAAAAATAATTAGAACTTATTTGCATAATCTTGATTTTTACTCTTATTTTACTATAAGAAAATCTTTTTTTAATTATTAATTAATTGCAAAATTGACTTGATTAATATATTGAATGATATAATTAGTTAATAAAAGAATAGAATAAAATTATTTAAAGTAATAAATCCAGATTTTTTCTCTTTAGTGATAACTCACAGCATATCTGAAAAAAAAATAGCAAAAGATTTAATTTGAAAAATCTTGTATCTATAGTAAAGTATGGTAAAGATAGTATGATAATATGAAGATATTTCTGTAGGACAGAATTAAATCCTTTAATACTAATAGAAGGCAAATTAAATTAATTTAAATATATACAAATTTAGAAAATAATTTATTTACAAGAAATTTAATTATCACTATTATTTTTTCTAACAAAATAATGCACTTATTCATACTGTCAAAGATATAAAGAACTGGATATCTCAGAAACAGATTAAGATTTTCTTAAAGTAATTTGCATAATTATCTGATTTAAATCTGATTAAGAATTTATAGGATAAACTATAAAGAAGAATATAAAAATAAAATTTACAGTCAAAGCTGTCTATACCGAACCTGTTTATACCGAAATCTGGCTATAATGACCCGAAATTGCCAGAACCAATTTTTTTAT